TTATCCTTTGCAAATTCGAAGGAGACCTCACCTACTGGTACGAATGCGAATTTGGTGATGAAGGTGAAATGGAGCCAGCCCCTGTAAAAAAAATTCTGCATACATTTCAATCGTCAGGAAACGCAGGAACTGATTCTTCCACCGACTGTTTTTCCCCTTTCTTTCATCTGGATTGATAAAATAGCATGATCATGAAAATATGCTTTTACTAATGCTGGACCTTTCCAGGGCGATTCTATATTTCTTTGAAACTTTGGTTTCATCGTTCCCGAAACCATTATTACTAGGTTGGCAAATAAGTCCTGCGAGAAAATCGAAACCTTTTTTCAATCATTTCTAAATTCTTTCATATTAATCAATTTTCGGAAAAATATCTACCGGAGAAGTCAACAACCTTCTTTTATTCTTTGAGCCAATCACTGATGCCGTCTCTTTAGGAGTGAGGGAACTGTGACTCAAGGAAGTGATTGACTACCGTTTTCAGATCACATTAAGTTACGAATTTCTTTCCCACAACGAGATGCTCAAAAAGGCGGAGCACCTGGTAGATAAAAGGGGGAACACTCCAGGAGTACGACTGATGAGTAACCTGGAACCAAGCGGGATCGGTGAACTTTTGACATGGGTCTAAAGCGAATTTTCGACGTGCGTTGTCCCTCTGTAAGGGCCTGATTTGCGATTTGATCGCCCTTCTCTNGCGTTTAGCAACTCATAGTCTATGGATTCCTTCAACCTCCATCAAATTAAGGGACGATGCTTGCATTAATAAAAAGGCTAGTATCTCCTGCAGTGAAGCATCCAACCGATTGTTGACCGTCGATCGGCGAGCAGTGCTAGCATCGAATAGATTGCTGATATTTCAAGCCGCTAAACTCGCGTTTTTTCCCTGGCGTGCTTAGTAGAAGGTGGTGGTACTAATCGGGTGTTGTCCATTCATTGACCGTAATGCTGCAAAAGCCCACAAGCGTGCCCTTATTTACTCATGTGTTGATTCTCCGGGGAACGCCCTACAAGTTTATCACCCATGCTACCGTGTTCACACTGTTGATACAAATTTTCAACGCTTCGAATTTTTTGTCGCAGGACTTATTTGCCAACCTAATATTTGCTTGAACATGGTCGATTCCGCTTGTCTCCTTCCTTCCGCAGGGTGGAGGAGGAGGCGATGAAACCAGAAGTTTATAACAACAATGTGAAAGAGATCAAGCTTCCAAATAAAGAGAGGAAGAACTAACTCTCGGTTAATGACAAAAGGGGAGGCCTATTTATAAGAGTGACTCCTGGCCGAGATGTAGGACCCGCCTTAAGAGGGTATATGTCATGGAGGCGACCTACCTTAGCATACTTTTGTAACAGTAACAACATAGCCTACCGATAACCCTTCCTTCGACATTCTAACGATCGAGTGGTGGTAGACAACGTAATGAACTGCACATTTCTCTTCTCCGTAAAAGGTACTGCTGCTTCAATTTATGGAACGAATCTCTCGTGAAAGGATTACACCACCTATCAGAATTAATCTTCGCCCTCGTTTTTTCGCAATATTTTTCTGGCCCACGATTGAAGAAGGACAAAACAACTGTCTCACTCAGTCTTGCTCATACTCTGTAACAATGTTCTTCTTCAATGGTATTCCAACAAACGATGAAAACATAAAAAAAAATGATAAACTTAAGTCCAACTTATAAGACGGAACGAAAGGTAAAACCTCAAAAGAACACTGGGAAGGACAAAAATTCGAAACAAAACAAAATGCAAACTCCTCAATTAATTGATTGATTGAGAGCAGCTAGCTTATGTTGTGAAATAGATTTCCATAGTAACCACAAAGTGATCAATGAAGTGAAATAATACCTAAACCAATATTACTAGCTCACTAGACAGCAGCAAACCTATATCAACAAAAAAGCGTTGACTAGCTGCTGGGCGACAATCAAAGAGCAACCCTAATT